TGTAATTATAAATGTAGCCACAATGAAAGCAATGAATGAAGCGGAAAGTGAAAGCCATGATAGATAAAATAAAATAAAATAAAATAAAAATATTGTAGTTATAATGCCACTAATACTAATAATACACTTTGTATTTGATGTAATCTACTGAAATTATGAAAAATGTAACTAACGTTAAGCATAAGTATCTAAATTCTGCACAAAAGATACAGTTTATCTTTCAAAATACAAAAGTATTGAGTTAACCTAACTTGCAAAAAAACTTATGCTGACTGTCATTGAACGGATCGTTCACGGAAAGCACGTCAGGCAGACGACAACAACAAAACAGAGCTACTGAGAGGGTGTTAGCGTAGTTAGCTATCTGAGATAAACAACTGGTGGTTTGGCCCGTGTGCTATACCATCTCGGCTGGGGTTTTTCAAACTAGACACTTATTTTACAGCAGCATGTTTAATCTGTCCAACTAACCATGGTTATCGGTTATTCTGTTCCAATTTAGTCCAGCTAACGTTAGCAAAGTGGCTGCTAAGCTAGCTCTATGTGTGCCAAACTAGAACAGGTTAGCTAGCTAGCTTAGTTGCTAGCTTGTTTGCTAGCTAACTCGCCTAGGCGAGGTGGAGACCAAGAATAGTGGGATGCGAGCAAAGTGAGGTAAGGCCAACGAATTTGTTTTTATTGTTATTATTATTGATTCAGCGTGGAATCACATCTTTATACCAATATAAGTTACATCGGGTGATGTTAGCTAGTTTGGCTAATCTTATTATATTTGTCAAAACAATGGACGTTAGAAATAGGTATCCTGCGCTAGCCTGACAGCCGTATTAGCTAATAATCAGTTAGCGTAGTCAGCGGGTTATTATTAACTAGCTCGCTTGCTAGCAGCTGCTGGTGGCTCCCTCTTTAGTGCTATAACATGACTTTATTGACTAGTTCGATTGGTAGCAGCTGCGGATGGCTTCTTTTTTGGTACCATAGCATGGCTGCTAAATGGAGGCCTCGATGATAATATTAACGGTTATTTGTTTTCTGGTCTAAAAACAATAAACATAAACAATTGTACTATGGTAACACTGCATAATAGGAAGCCCGCAGTTGCTGTCAACCGCTACTAGCGGCAATTAGCGATCGTTAACCAATATTCACAGTCTATGATTACAACTTTGTTGATTTGTGTTTTATATTGTCAAGCTGGCCAGAGTTGAGAGTCTACTTTTGCGCTAACAAAATTTTGGAACATCTTTAACTTGGTATTTCAGCGGTGAAGCCCTCTAACTCGTTGTTCTCATGATCAAAGTCAACAATCGTGAACTGTCTGCTTATTCTGGCAATTTTACACTTTAACTTACCTTAGTCCAGTATATTAGATGATTTCTTATACACTTATTCTTATAAAATACATAAAAACCTGACAGTAATGGTGACTCAGCTGCTAAGCTAATTATTAGGTAGACAAGAAGTTGATCTAACTATGATGCACATAATTATAGCCTGTGTAGTAGTAAGAAAACAGCTTAAGTAGTTTTATGAACAGGTGCTTTGATGGCACATCACCTCTCACCAGAACTCATTTAATGATATCTCATGTTTGTTTCTTCATAGCGTGTCCTTGAATGACTAAATGAGCAAGACAGGGACGTGCGAAGAACTCTGGGAGATTCAAGATGAAGTTGTATGTGTTCCAGGTCAACAATGGCAGCACATTGACATTTGACACAGATCTTGCTGTCCAAACGTAAGAAACTGGTATTTTACCAATATTGGTCAGAAATGATGGACAGTACATTTTGGCTATTGTAACCTGATTAAGTTCCTTCTTTGTCTCAGTGTGCTGGAGCTTAAACATGCCATTCAAGCCAAATATAAGATTGCAATTCAACATCAAGTCCTTGTTGTCAATGGAGGGGAATGTATGGCTACAGAGAGACGAGTCTGTAGCTACAGTGCTGGCACTGTAAGTTGATTCAGTTTTTTTTTTTTTTTTTAATAAACTATACAGGTTGTTTATTTGATGTTCTGATTACTGATGTCTTACTGTTCATTGTTAGGAAACCAACCCCATATTTCTGTTCAACAAAGAGATGATCTTGTGTGATCGGGATCCAACGATTCCCAAAACCACCTTCTCAATTGAGAGTGAGATTCAGGTTAAGGTTGAGGAGTCTCTACTGATGCCAGCTGTCTTTCATACTGTTGCCTCACGAACACAGCTTGCTCTGGTAGGTATCTAATTATTCTTTTATATAACAGATTTTCAATGAAACATCTCTGAACAAAAAAACTGCTTTGGAATGGCTGTCTGACATTGCTCACAATCTTTGTGATGTTAAAATATTATTTAAGTATGATATAAAATCATGTTAACTGATCCATTAACTATGGACCGCTCCTAACCTGTCCTGACATTCTCATTGTTTTGCCTTTCCAGGAAATGTATGAAGTTGCCAAGAAACTTTGTGCTTTCTGTGAACGTTTGGTTCACGATGAACACCTACAACACCAAGGCTGGGCTGCTATTATGGCTAATTTGGATGACTGCACTCTATCTTATCAGAAGTTGCTCATGAAATTTGACACTGCATACACAAATTATCAACATGATTTGGAAGAAATTAAGATAAAACTTACAAAGTAAGTGTTGCCACAGAGAGCATGATATTTTTCACTTTGATAATCATATCCTGTGGTTTTAAATGTAAAATACAAGGTACTGTATGCTTATCTGAATTTTGCCTGTGCTCACAGAGTATTGTAATTAAACACAATCTAACTGTAGCTAAGTCACCAAAATAGCAGAAAACATAAGCAATTAATACTGCTAAAAAGAAGTGACCTTGATGTCTTATACATATTTTATTGTGATTGCAGGTTAGGGACAGCGGTTTCTGTAATGGCCAGGATACCACTGCTGGAATGTCTGACAAGGCACAGTTACAGAGAAAGTATAGAGAAGTCCAGCTCAACCCCAGAAAAAGATTCAGATGAGACAGAAGAAGAAAAATCTACTGACTCTGTGCTCTGCACTACAGATGCACAGAAGCCCTGCAAGTTATCAGGGTCCTCCTCTGCTTCGGGGACAGCCACTTGTGAGCCAACTGGTGACCAGGAAACAAATGAAATGACTGACAGTGGTGGGCTGAGAGCTGCGCTGTTAGATGATGACACTCCAGAGCTTGCCAACCCGTCCTCCTTCAATGTCACACTATTAGACTGGATCAATGTACAAGACCGACCCAATGATGTGGAGTCAGTTGTGAGGAAATGCTTTGACTCCATCAATAGGGTGAGTCAACAATGTATGAATAAACATGTCACAATAGTTGGGGGATGTGTAGCAGTTATTACTGAAATGTTTTGGTTTTTTTTTTTCTTTCAGCTTGACCCACGCATCATTCAACCCTTCCTGGCTGATTGTCGTGACACAATTGCCAAGCTAGATAATCAAAACATGAAGGCCATCAAGGGGCTTGAGGATAGGTTGTATGCTCTAGACCAAATGATTGCAAGCTGTAAGAAGTTGGTAAATGAACAGAAAGAACTTGCTCAGGTATGTAAAGGAAGAGGTAAATGCTATTAAATTAATTTCTCCATCTTCTGTTTTTCATAAAATGTGCTTACACGTTGTCTTTGGCAGGGATTTTTGGCCAACCAGAAGCGAGCTGAAAACCTGAAGGACACATCTGTTCTGCCTGACTTGTGTCTGAGTCACACCAACCAGCTGATGATCATGCTGAACAACCACAGGAAGCTGCTAGACATCAAAAAGAAGTGCACCACTGCCAAACAAGAACTCGCAAACAACCTTCAAGTCCGACTCAAGTAAATCTGAAAATTGTATCCCCCAACATTTATTGCTTCCTCTGTTTTAATAGCTTACTACTTTCTGTGCATAGTAATGTTTGCTCAGTCTGTTGAATTTGGACTTAATGATTTTCAAAATGTTAAAACTGAGGGAATGATGTTTGTAACACTAACAGTGGAAATGACTTTGTATTAGATGGTGCTGCTACGTGATGCTTCATGCAGACCAGGATGGGGAGAAGCTTCAGGCTCTACTAAGACTTCTGACAGAGCTAATAGAAAGAGTGAGGGTGGTGGAGGCCCTCAGTACCGTGCCCCAGATGTACTGCTTGGCAGTGGTGGAAGTAGTTAGAAGAAAAATGTTTATGCGACACTACAGAGAGGTCAGTGCAAACTGCAGTTATGCTAATTGTGCGTTCAGATATAGTGGCAAGCACCTTTACCTCAGTGTATCTGCAGCACTTGGGGAGCACTTGAGTTATTTTGTTTTTCGACAGCATTTGATGCAGCAGGAAGCCACTCTTGTTGCATTTTTTGCTTTTTCTTTTCTGTTTTTCTCAAACAGTGTCTTGAATAGTTTCCTCCTGAAAGCTCAGCTTCTTTATTTTTAATTGTGAGAGTGATAATGAGATGTGGATTATACAGTTCTGAATATACAGTAAACAACACTGATATTTAAACCTGTAATAAAAATCGATTTATAGCAGCTCAGTTCGATTCAAGACCATGCTAAGGAATTGGAATGCCACTAAGTCCTGAAAGTGGACACTGAGAGAAGCACAGTTATTACTTTGTTGAAATAAAAGCTTTGCTGTTATTCTTTTCAGTGGGCTTATGCACTTGTGAAGGATGGGAAGCGGCTGTATGAGGCAGAGAAGTTCAAAAGGGAATCCTTTGGAAAACTCTTTAGTAAGTGTCATTTGAAAAAAGGAGCTGATGCTCTTCCATTTATGTTGTCACACAATGAGTCTTGATTTCTTTTCTGATTTCTTTTTAGGGAAGTCTTTCCTCAGAAATCGTTTGTTTAGAGGACTTGATTCATGGCCTCCAACATCATTTTGCGTGAGCCAGAATTCATGACCATTTTGATTAAGTTGGTGGTATTGTGTTTCCACTGTGTTTAAGGTCTTTCTTCTTTTGCACCATCCATTGTCATTTATAGACTCGAAAGCCCAGAAGATTTGATGATGAACTTCCAGACATTTCACTTGAGGACCTGCAGTACTTGAAATCGTGTTGTCCTGTAGAAGTGCAGCCTTTCCTTATGTAAGTTACTGTCCTCAGTTGTGGAAATGGTGGTATTATTATTATCATCATCATTATTATTTCCATTTATGTTAAACTGATGTGAAGTAATACTTCAGCACTTTTTTATTTCTGTATAATGTTCTCAAATATGCTTCAACAGTTGATGGAACAGAAAACAACTTGTTAGACTTTTAACTGTATAACCAAAAGCCTCTCAAGCAGAGAGACAGAGACAGAGCAACTAAAGTTCTGTTTTTGCAAAACAGCGATTAACAGGCTACAGTTTCTTTTTGTATTTTCATGGGTAGTTAGAAGTACATGGAGAAAAATTGTCTTAATAACCTCACTATAAAAGGTTTGAAGACCTTTTTTGTGTACTCCATGATACAGGTTTGGTGGGGTGTAAGGGTTTTATACAGGGCAGTTATCAAGTCAACTTTATTGTCTTACTTTATGACAAAGGTGACTCTTCATTACTTTGCTGACTTCTGAGTGTCTGTACACCAAGCCACCAAGCTATTTTCTCTTACTAGCACTAACTTGCAGACTTCTCTCCCAGTTTGTTTGTACCAAAACAAAATCACTACACAGTTTTGAGTATTCTATTCTGAAGTTTATTCCTGATAGTCGGCTTTACTTTTTTTTATGCAGGGTTCCCACCATGTGTGACTTCGAGCCCTTAAACCGCCATGTAGAGACACTTCACCAGCTGGTCCAAGCAGCACAGAGTGTGGATGAGATGTCTCAAACTATTACTGACCTACTAAGTGAACAAAAGGTAATGGCTTCATTAACAACCTTTATGCGTATTCCCAAGTTTCTCTCAAACATTTATAATGCACAGAAATGTATTGAAGCCATTGCTGGTTTTATTGCAGTTACATAGTTCATGGATATCAGTGAAATGCCAAGTGGATTATAATCTATTAGTTGTACTAAAATATTTCTGCTTAAATGTTGAAATGAATGCAGTGACCTTTATAGATGGTGGAATTGATACTTGTGTTACTTTTAAATTTAGTAATAATTTTGGCTTCAGACCTTAACACCATGTCACTATTTAAAATGAACTGTTCCCAGTTGGTGATAGCTTGTTTTACAAATACAAAATGATTTTTCATGTTGCATGAATTAGCTTTTTTTAATTATTTTATTTTATTAAATAAAACTTGAAGCTTAAATGCAGACATATTATTTGAAACGTCTATTTGTTTGCTCTCTCACTCTCTCTTCATGTGGTCTGTTTTTGTAGGCATTGTATAGTCAGAGCACTCAGAGATCAACTGCGCTGAGCCCACAGTCTGAAAGCAGACCCGGGACCACTACTTCTGTGTCCTCCAAAACCCCTTCCTTGCTTAGTCTTCAGGGACCCAGCTGCCAGCCCCTACTTGTTCCTGTCCCAGCTCCTCTAGAGGACTTGTCTCCAGACAGCATTGATGCACAGACATTTGACTTTGAAACCATTGGCCATCCAAACATGGATCCAGTCCTGCAGCAGGGCTCCCTTGACCTGGATTCTCTAGCAGAGAGTCCTGAATCTGATTTTATGTCTGCTGTTAATGAGTTTGTGATTGAAGAGAACTTGACCTCGCCTAACCCTGTCAGTGACCTTACTAGTCCTGAAATGATGGTGGAGTCGTTGTACTCTTCAGTCATCAATGCTATTGACAATAGGCGTATGCAGGATACAACAATACTAGAGAGGGAAAACTCAAAGATCATTGTCCTCAAACAAGTTATTGACAAGTACCGATTTGCTGCAGAGGAGTCCAGTTCCAACTTAACAAGTGTAAAAGATGACCTGTATCACTTGCGATGTCTAGTATTAAAAGAGCAACATGACTTTGCCTTTGTCCTAAGCAATATGACCACAGAGGTGTGCAGCATTGTGGACAACATCTGCCAAACCCATGAACTGGAGCTGAAAGAGCAGCATCAAAGTGAGCTTCTCTCCCTTCGGCAAGAGCTTGAGAAGCAAGTTCAGACACTAACAGAGGAAAACCAAGTAAACCAGAATATTGTCAGAGACGTACAGCGTGCAATGCTAGACCTGGAGGGTCTTATGGAGCGTAAAGAGAAAGAACTTACTCAGCTTGAGAATGAGAGAGAACGATGGGTTGAAACAGATAGTAGCCAGACAGGAAAGATCAAAAACCTGGAGCAGATGGTCAGTGAGCAATCTGAAAACATCAAGGCACTCTCAGCTTCAAGAGACTCACTGACCAGCCAGCTTGAGAATCTGCACTTTGAGATTGAACGTGGCCAGCAGAAGATCCGACAAGAGCTGGAAGTTGTTGAGAAAACTCACTTAAAGGAATTGGAGGACAGAGTGAAGCAGGAACATAAGGCAGAACTGGAGACCCTTACCAAGGATAACCAAGAGGCTCTGAAACATCTAGCTGCTGAAAATAGTGCAAAGTTAAGTGAGGCTGCTGGTCAACATGTCAGTGCTCTTAGAGACAAGGACAACCAAATCAAGAACTTGGAGGCTCGTATTACTGAACTTGAAGAGCTCCGTTTCAAACTAGAGATGGAGCTAGCCCTCAAAGAGTCAGAAACAGAAGAGGTGAGGCTCTTATTTGAGGAGGCCAAGATGCAACAGGCTGAGGCTGTGAAGTCCCAGGTAGAGGCTCAAACCAAACTCCTCAGTGAAGAGCTGGAAAATGTCAAAAAACAGCTTCAGGTAAAAAATGAGGAGTATGAAGTTGACCTCGCAGAACTGAGGGCTCTTATGAGGATTGAGAAAGACCACTGCATCTCAGAGCTTGTGGACAGACACGAGGAGGAGACTGCTTTGTTGCGCAATGAGCTTTCCTCCTTGGAGCAGCGCTTCCAGGATGCTGAGCGGAAGCATGCTGAGAAGGAACAGAAATTTAAACTGGAATTAGACCAGCAAGTGGCTGCTCTAAGTGAAGAAAAAGAAAAGCAATTGAGTAATTTTGAAGTTCTGGAACAAGAGCTGAGGACTGTTGTCAGCAATTTGCAGGCAGAAAAAGACCTGCTCCTTGAGAAACTAGAGCAGGCCAGGCAAGCAGTCAAGAAAGAAGAGGCCATTAAGGTTGTATCATCTGATGCCTTTAAAGAGTTAGAGCAGCAGAAGGGGGAAATGGAGAAGAGACTCTTAGACAAAATTAGACAACTTGAGAATGAGCTTCGTGAGAGACAGTCCTCAAAGAGGTAAATGTTTGATCACAATGACACACACACCACATAAAAATCTAGTGGTTTGCCTAAATTTAATCTTAGATTCAAAATTGCACACTGAAAGAAAATCTGTCTTACTGTTGATTATAAAATCATTTTTTGCTATTGCTTGTCTTTATATGTGCTTGCATTATGTGCTGGATTATTAAATTGTTCTGTTATAATTCATGTTTACTGTGTGCCTTGCAGTGAAGAAGGGTTGTCGCTGCATGCTGAGGGCCATGCCAATGCTGGAGCACCTCTGTCACTAGACTCAGCACTACAAGAGCGGCTGCAGCAGGAGAGGGCCTCGCTGGAGTCCCAGTTGGAGATCCTGGAGAAGAAGAAGAATGAGGAGATACAGAATCTCAAGACCTCATTAATTGCAGAGCAACAGGTTTGTATTTGGGCTCTAATAGGCAGGAAGAGTCCTGTGCTTGTTTTATGTGCTTTCCTTATAAGACAGTTCACAATCGATGCCATATCCTTGATACATATATTGGTACTTGGTTAAAACTAAGCAGGACTGAATTTCCCACTGCTCGCATCATGTAAAGCCACTGGCTTTGTTCACTCTCATAGGCTATGAGAGTCACTTAACTCTGCAACATTTAGAAGACAACAAGGATACTAATAGTGTGTCTAGGGTTGCACTGGTATGAGATTTTCATGGTATGATAACCATCTCAGAAAATATCACAGTTTCACAGTATATGGTTATTACACAATTACTATTATAATCAGCTACAACAACCCTTAAGGGTTAAAAGAATGAAAACTAAAGAGTCTTTTTATCGTAAGTGACTGTGCCAGCACTAAATTGACCCTAAAGAATAAACAGAATTATAAACATGCAAAAAAAAAAAAAAAAAAGTTGATAAGAAGGTTGTGGCTTCGAGCCCTGGCCAACCTGGGGCCTTTCTGTGCCAAGTTTGCATGTTCTCCCTGTGCCTGCGTGGGTTCTCTCCGGGTACTCCAGCTTCCTCCCACAGTACACTGATATGCAGTTTAGGTTGATTGGTGACTCTAAATTGCCCGTAGGAGTAAGTGTAGGTGTTTGTGGTTGTGTGTGAACCCTGCCTCTCGCCCATTGTCAGCTGGGATTGGCTCCAGTCCCCCCACGACCCTCTTCAGGATAAGCGGTATAATGGATGGATGGATGTAATATAACTAAAGCGTGTTAGTTTGCGCGTTAGTGTTCTTGTCCTTTATTTAAGTAAAAGTACTATCACTCTGTCAAAATAGCATACAGTGCAAGTCTTGCATTGAAAATGTTAAGTAAAATTAAGTATTTTCATGAAAATGTGCTTAAAGTATTAAAAGTGTAAGTAGGATACTCAATGCGAAAAAGTTCTACTATACTGTATGTCCTGTACTGTTGTACTACTATGTATTTTCTCTGCATGCGCTGACTGTTGTAGTTTTAAGGTGGAGCGCTTTTGAACTATTTTGTATCCAAGTACAACTATTGATTATTTTCTCCATTAATCGACTGCCTGTTTTGTAAAACAGTAGTGAGACATATCGCACCCCCTTCACAGCTTCTACTAATGCACAGTGCTTAATGTTTTGCTCAAAATATTACAAATTTAAGCCATAGTTACCCATTTTTGAAAAAGCAGTTCAGCCTGTATAACTGCATTTTAGTAAAAAATTTTTTGTCAGGTATAATACATTTTGGAAAGATTTTATATGGAACAATACAGAATCTTGGAAATATAAAAATCAGCCAAACACCTAACTTCTGTGGCTGCAAGCTGATGCAAACCCTTAGAACGTAGCAATTAAAAGGCATCTCTCATATCTTTTGTGCTTTGATATATATTCCAAATGATTATTTTGTTGTTTTGCTAGACCAATTTCAACACTGTTCTAACACGGGAGAAGCTAAAGAAGGAGCAGATCATCAATGAGCTCACAGAGCAGTTGCGAACAGTTACCCAACAGCAGGAGAAGGACAAAGGTGAGTGCTATACATACTGAGTACCTTGAGAGGAGGGTAATCATTTATGTCTAAGATATTGCTACTTAATTAAAAACAGTTTTTCTTAAATAAAAGGTGTTTGTTTAACACAAGATTATAATGTAATTGTGCTTGTATTATACCTAATAAATGGTAATTAGCTGTCCCTGGTAGGCTAGTGGTTAAGGCGCAGCGCTCTCGTTGCTGCGGCCTGGGTTCGAATCAGGGTCACGTCAGGAAGGGCATTCGGCGTAAAACACGTTCCATATGTCAACATGCGAGTCGTCAGTGTGACGATTCGCTGTGGCGACCCCTAAAAGGGAAAAGCCGAAAGTGACTTTCTTATATCTGATAAATGGTCCCTGCCTTTTTCATATTTTAAGACTACCTGACATTTTAAGTTTAATGTTATAGATGAGCATTTTGTGCCTGTTGGTGTGTCTTATTCATCTCCATTCATTGCAGCTCTCATAGAGACACTCTCTGAGGACCGGGCTAGTGTAATGCAGGAGAAGAAACATTTGGAAGAAGAGCTTAACCGCCTGCGCAGCACTGCGCTGGTCTCCTCTACTTTCTTCACTCCTAACCCATCAGCTCAGGAGGGCACAGAACCCGGGGCAGCAGCAGGAGCCAGAGCTTTACATGTTGCTGGGGCCTGTTACTCGGAGTCTGTGGCTGAAACTGACAGGCTGGGCTCTGTAGCAGCTGTTCGAGATGATGAACATGTCGAATCAGCAGTGGAAGCCAGTATGGTGACAGTCCAGTAAGCATCGTTTCTAGAATAAACATTGTGTTGTAGTAATTGTGATCTCACCTCATTTACTCTACAAGCATTAAAGAAATGTGCAGAAATCAGGCTAAGGCAACACATTTACATGCATGGTCTTAACCTCATTAAGGCCTGTGCTCAACATGCAGTCGGTGTATTTGCCCCTACTCATCACCTTGTTTGTGAAGTAAGATTGACAAATTGTTAGTGGTTAGTAATACGTAATGGTGAAACGGGGTCGGGGTGTTTTGACGGTGCAGTAAGAAGACAATCAGGTTTTCTTTTGTTTTTTTTTATTGTGTGAGTTATGTCTGAGCTTTACCAATAGCGACTGTTCAATTTTAGAAATTATTACATTTTCATTTGCACCGGATCTTAGTTATTATTTTTAAGAGACAAGGTTACTCCAGTTTACAGTACGTCTTGTGCAGTCAGAGGTGAAGGCCGCTGATGTACAACATTCAGTCTATATCTTCAGTGTAGTGTAGTTATCTTAAAATGGTGAGTGGTTAATTCTCTCCTGTGATGATCTCATGTTGCACTGACCTGCCAACAGCGAAAACTAATTTGAAAAGAAGATGTAAGAGGTTAAGAATCAAATCAAATCAAATCAAATTTTATTTGTATAGTGCCAAATCACAACAAAAGTCATCTCAGGACACTTTACAAAGTAAGGTCTAGACCTTACTGTTATCAATATTATTACACAGGGAAAACCCAACAAATCCACCTTGAGCAAGCACTTGGTGACAGTGGGGAGGAAATGAATATATTTTCTGCACCACAGCACTATTACTTGCTTATTTAGCAGCAAAAATCAAACAGACATTAATACATTTAATCTTTCAGCCATTACCTACTTAGATTACATAACTTTTTTGAACTTTTTTTTTTTTTAACAATTTATTATATCTCCGTCGTGCTGTTGTTTTCAAAAATAAGTTGTCCTTTGGTTTTCTAAAGGACATTATTAAACATATTTTATTTAAGTTGTAATGTGCAACACCCATTTTTGGTCCACGCATATGTTGACTAAGTACAAAATATCCATAGCAGAGTTCATTCAGACCTGAAAGCTTTAATAGAGCCTTTTATCCTCTGGTGATATGAACTTGGCTGATAGGTTAAGCAACAACGCTTTGCGTTATTCAAGAAGAATTTCAGAACAACATCACATTGTGTGCAGAAGCCAAGACTGGATGGACAGAGAGGACATTTAATAGTGTAAGTAAGGCAGACTAGGATCAGACAGTGCAAGTTCTTCATTTATTACTATTAAAGTAACTATTACTAAGTATTTACAATACCAAAAGTGTAGGTGTGTCTATATTTAATCAGTTTTTAGTTTTCCACATAAAACCTACAGTTTTGTTGAAGTTTATTCAAAGATTGATTCTCAATAATCTGATGTTTTCTCTCTGACAGTGATAACATCCTGATGTCCGAAGAAAAACAGCGGATTCTCATACTCGAGAGGGTAAATGGATACACTGTATATATCACACTACATTTCATAGCACATAAATCTATGTCTTTGTGTCTCTGTCTGTATAATCAATCTAATATATGTTGCAGACTTTACACATGAGGGAAGAAGAGAACAAGCGTCTCAGTCAAAGACTGGTTAGTCTATCACTATGCGCTATGTAACACCTGTTCCACTAGGTGGCAGTAGCATCAAAGAGTAAAATCATAACCCAGGAGGCCAAAGAGCTCAGTGAAGAAAAACACATTTTTAGGATTAGTGTCATTAGAATGAATAGAGATGAATCTTAGTGAAAATTGCATGTTTGTAACAAACATATAATGTATGTGTTAAAAAAAAATAAACTTGTGTGGTATGAAAACTTCTTTTAATCACCTGGGTCACAAAGGACACAAGTGAGATTAGATTGTAGAATAATAGAGTCCAGGCAGGAGTACAAATTACTAAGATTATTTATTTATTTTTTTTACAAGTCTCCAGTCAGACAAATGTTTAAAAAAGTCCTCTTAGAGGTCACTTGTAGCCAGTATTGTTAACTCTTTTCTGTAACATGTATAATGTTGCCATAATCCTTTCCTTTGTAGATGTCTCAAAGCATGTCGTCTGTGTCATCACGGCATTCAGACAAAATCGCCATCAGAGAGTAAGTGAATAAAATATAACACGTGCTTGCTGATGGGATCTTTAACCGACCATTATCACTTGCAGTATAGTTGTACATATTATTATTTAGTTACCATTAATGTGTTTTTTTTTTGTTTGTTTGTTTGTTTTGCGGTTTGCAGAACTCTTGTCTTCATTTCGTTGTCTTTTTGTCCAGCTTCCAGGTAGGCGATTTGGTTCTAATCATCCTGGATGAGAGGCATGACAACTACGTGCTGTTCACAGTCGGTCCCACCCTCTACTTCCTCCACTCAGAGTCTCTCACAGCACTGGACCTCAAACCAGGTTAGCTTTGCTCAATCCTTTTGTAACAAGATCTGTAGTGCTGAAATTTAATTTGTGATTTGCTAATAAAATGTTTAGTAGTTTGTTAGTTATTAATTTCATATGTCAGACATGAATGGATTTATAAGGTGTGTTCACATTATGTACATGTGTACTCTAAAAAATAGGGGTTTATACTTTATTTTTACTACAGTGTGGTATATGTCATACAACCGCAAGCATTTATTTGTTTACAAGTCAGTTTGTTTTGTTGTTAAGCATCAGGGACTTCAAGACGGCCGTGGGTACTTGGGAAGGTGATGGAAAAGGAATATTGCCAGGCAAAAAAGGTAGTGAATTTATATCAAGGTCAGAAATCCTTTTTAATTTGTTTTTAATGAATATTTAGGAGTCAGTAAACTGACATAGATGAAATGTGGTCCTGATCTTATTTGGTTATTGTGTTTCCATGTCAGTAATGCTATTATATTCATGTACACACAGTATGAACTCTCTCTTCTCCTTGTCTCTTTCCTTTCACCAGGCCCAGAACAGGTTCAAGGTTCCTTTAGGAACCAAGTTCTACAGAGTGAAAGCTGTTCCATGGAACCGAAAAGTATAATAGCCAAGTAATGAGCAAAATGTATATTTATATTGCTTAATTTTTGGACAGAAACTTCACATCATAATTCATAACTTGTAATTTCAGAGACCTAAAAATGGAAAGAATTAAGATCACCATGCTATCTTGAGTTTCAGATCAAAATCCCAACTGCTACCACATTTTATTATTATTATTTTTAACCCAGATTAGTTATTGTGGACCAAATGCTATTAACCCTATTAGGGCACTTCCCTATACACTGTGGCATTAATGCCACTTGACCTGTGTGCAAAATTGAACAAAATTTGGATGTTAAATATTAGTTCTCATCACCATACTTTGTCCTTTTGTGGAAAATACCGTGTCATTATCAACATAATTAAATGAAAATATACATTTATTATAAATGTTTATGGGGGAATGTTCTTGGCATGCATAATGATATATTTTCTTTGATTTAATTATCAAAATAAATGTTGTAGTTGGAAATGTAATTAATGCTGTTTGTTACTCACAAAGCAGTATGGCCGTCTGTCCATACTGAAATGTACATTATGGCTGACTGATGAAAACAGTCATCTTTGCAAATCCTTGAAATGCACTTTCAAAAACGATGCTTTTGTTGATTTGAAAAGGGAAGTAACTGAGCTGTCAGAACTAAGTAAATATATCAGCACAAACTTCTCACTATCATAGAATATTGATATGTAGAAAGGAATACTTGTGACTGTGTTTCATTATCAGAGGACGTTGTACATTACCCATCAAATCACATATGTAACAATAAATGACTGTATTGTAAAAGATAAGGTTTTGAAACAATAAAGGATTGATCCCAAACATATTCTGCTGTTTTTGTGGCGGCCAGTAATTAATTGGGGTATTTGATGCAGGTTAATGTACATAGTGCTATTGCCCTCGCTCTTTTTGTTATGGGGTGAAAAGTTTTCCAGTTTCATGGACAAAAAACTGGATAGGGTGAAATGTGATGGCATTAAGTCTTCATCTGCTGGAAATTAAAATGTCTATTAACTAGTGAAAAGCCATCTTATTACAGGTTATTTTTAAACAAAATACAAACATTGCACATCAGTCACTTTTATGGCGTATATAGTCAATTGCTTTTTAATGATGCTTTTAAAATTTGCTAGGGGATTCAGGAGTCATTGTGGAATAGGACACTGTAGTGCATTCATTTGATTTATCATTTTTGCTTCTGTGGAAACATTAATGTTGGCACGCTGCTGCAGGAAACAGACTTCAAAAAGGCTTCAAATCGGGGCCCAAGAACGATGCGGCCTCATGGAGAAGGAAGCCCACCAACATCACTTTCCCAGTTCACAGCGGGGAGCATAGCAGCTCTCCGCCGAGCACTCTCTACCATGTGGGTCTAGGGGTGTTTTAACAATGTTTAGCTCTATTTTCTCCATTTAGCATAAGCCTGTTGTCACATTTGGATGGCTCCTTCATAAATTGATGGTGTGATTCCTACAATTTCGGGACAGGCCTGAATGACAAAATATGCAACACAACATTCGATACCGAGGTGGCTGGCAAACATCAACCATGTGCACTGGACAGGCTCTTAGTGTAAATGTTTACAACCCCCCACTGAGCTCAGTGCTGCTGGGAGTCACTCTCATCAGGCTGAATGGGACTGAAAATAGCAACGTGTAGTCTCTTTCTAGTTCCACCATTAAAAATGCCTTTGACTTGCTGTCAAACAAACACAAAACAACTTATCTTCTGGACTGTATCATCAAATTTACTTTTGTTAAGCAGTAAGCATAGCAACTTATGTTATAATATTTCGTTCAACCGGAATTTATTATTTGATTCAACAGGAATAGTGGCCATAATGATATTAAAAATACTACATGCTACAAATTGAGAATTTTTTCATGTGGCACTTATCAAAACAAAATTCCTGAATGGAAAAAATAGTAAGCCAGCAAACTATAAACCAGGTCATATACTGTGTACAACATACATTTTACCTACAGTACAGCAAGTACATTCCATGCATACGTATACTGTACGTAATGACACATGGAAACAAATGACCAACGTGATTTTTTTTTTAAAGCCTCTTGTTAAAGATGAGTTTTGAAAGATGATTTTGATCATTTTATGGTGTGACTGAGTTGAAGCGCCTTAACAGAATAACAAATAAAGAAGAAATGAACCACCTAAAACTTAGCACAACATCTTATTAACAGCATATCTTCATGTACAGGATGAGCATTCGTTTCTTATCAGTATCATTCAGAAAGTTCAAGACATTTTTTTAAAATACACAAATGCCTAAATTCATCACAAATATTCTCCAATAATTGTATAAAGACAGGTATATTAATGCAGCTTTCAAATATCACCAGCTGAAGTTCAAAGACACATTTTTAATAGCTTTTCCTTCCATGTCAGCATACACTGGAGGCACTAAATTAAGGTTTAGATGAGTAAATATGACATATCAAAATGATGTCAGAGACGGCTCACAAAGAATGTCCTGCAGTCTCAGATCTTGCCCTTTGTAAGTGATATCTCCTGTATTTGAAGATAATACACAAGTTATATTTGATTTTCCAATATCTCTGACACTATACTAAATAGATGGAGCTGCAAATAAACAAGCATTATTTGTAGAATAAATATATGCCTGAACTTCAAATGATGGATAAATGAAAATAAACAGGAAAGCCTTAACCTTTATATTTTCAAAATCTAAATAGAATGAGGGTGTTGAAGAAGAGCCAAGAGGCATCAAGGCTGAAACTGCGAACCAAGGAGTAGATCGACTTAATGCCATCAC